TTTTTTTTTTGTGGTACGCGGGCCTCTCACTGCTGTGGCCTCTCGCATTGCGGAGCACAGGCTACGGACGTGCAGGCTCAGCGGCCATGGCTCACGGGCCCAGCTGCTTCATGGCATGTAGGATCCTCCTGAACCGGGGCTCAAACCCGTGTTCCCTGCATCGGCAGACAGACTCTCAACCACTGCGCCACCAGGGAAGCCCTGATTATTACCTTTTGGTGATATCATGTTTCCTTGATTCTTCATGTTCCTTGGAGTTTTGTGTCACTGCTTTCACATATGAAGTAGCAGACACTTACTCAAAACTTTGCTAATTGCCTTCAGGTGGGAAATATTGTTCATATGTCCTGTTATATCTGGGGTTTTCTCTGACCTTGTGTGGATATACCTGCTCCATGCTTCTTGCTCCCTCTTGTGGTGTAATTATTCTTTTATGTCTTGTCTGGTCTTACAGCTCACCAGGATGTCTGCTAGAAACCTTTCTTTTGTTTTTCAGAAGGCAGCACTACAGTTCAAGTTTTTGGTTTCTCCCTTTCACATAGACCCTGGTCAGATATTTTGAGAGCACTTCTTTTATTGGAGCTTGCTCTTGCCACTGAACTCAGGAGCACATATAAGGAGGTGGCCAGAAAGTGTGGGGAGGGGTGAGTCTTGCGCTCTGGGCATTGGGGGTGACTGGGACTGGTGAGGGGATCATCGGGTGAGGGTTTCCCAGAAGCTCACGGATGGACTTTCCACTGAAGTCTTGAACACAGTCATCAGGAACTATATCCCTTTAATATTGATAGTCTTACCTGCTTCTTTCCTGATTTCTTCCCTTCCCCCTTCCCCCCCCTTCATGGAGGCCCCAGCCTCAAATTTGTTGTGTTTTGTTTTGCTTTGCTCCAGTAGCATGCTGGAATCTCCCCTCAGCAAGGCTGGAGTTCTACAAATTCTCTTTTGTCCTTGGGTGCCTGCTCAAGTCAGTATTCTTCAGGTTTTCCCCAACCCAACCATGGCCAAGAGGGATTGGGGCAGGTTCACTGGTCCTGCTGATTCCACAGCTCATACAATGGTCTTTCTGCCTATTACTGATGCACAGGTGGATGAGACTCCTCCCAGGTCCCTTGGCATATCTAGATCCCAGAACTCTAACAGAGGGACTTTTGTTCATGGATGGATGCCTAACTAGTTGTTTAAAAGGGGGGACAAAAAGGAATATCTTATGCCACTATGATGCTGATATCACTTGTCCTTGTTATACTCAGAGTTGAGCTCAGTCTCTCTCCCCTATTCCAATAATCTTGACCCCTATTGCAATAGTCTTGAATAAAGTCTTTCTTACCATTTTTGACAAGTGCCAGAATAATTTCTTTTTAATAGCATCTCTCTTTCAACATCTTTCTTGCCTTGTTCCCATTTTTTTATGCTACTGTAAATTGAATTTTTCTTTTTTTCTTGGATTTTTCATTGCTCATGTATAGAAATACAGTTGGTTTTTGTATTTTGATCTTGTACAATCTTGCTGAACTCATTTAATAGTTCCTTATGATTTTATGTATATAGGATCATACCATCTGAAAGTAGAGTTTTAATTCTTCCTTTCCAATCTGGATAACTTTCATTTCTTTCTCCTGCCTAATTGCCCTGGCTAGAACCTCCGGTACAGTGTTGAATGAAAGTAGCAAGAGTGGACATCCTTGTCTTATTCCTGATCTTAGGAAGACTTTCACAGTTACGTATGATGTTAGCTGTGGTTCTTTCATAGGTGCCATTTGTCAGGTTCAGGAAGTTCCCTTCTATTTCTTGTTTGTTGAGTTATCATGTAAAGGTGTTGGTTTTTGTCAAGTCCTTTTTTGTATCTATTGAAATGATCATATTGGTTTTTGTCCTTTATTAAAACATTACAATAATTGACGTTTGAATATTAAATCAACCTTGCATTTCTGAAACAAATGCTACTTCATCATGGTGTATAATCCTTTTTATATATTGCTGGATTCATTTTGCCAGTACTTTACTGAGGACTTCTTATGTCTTTATTCATAAGAGATATTGATCTATTATTTTCTTGTGATATCTTTATCTGGTTTTGATACCAGAGTAATACTGACCTTATAGGATGAGTTGCAAGTATTCCCTCCTCTTCTATTTTTAAAAGAATTTGTGAAAAATTGGTATTAATTCTTCTTGAAATGTTTGGTAGAATTCACCATTGAAGCCATCTGTGCTTGTGCTTTTCTTTCTGCAAAGTTTAAAAATTACTGATTCAATCTCTTTATTTGTTGTAGCTCTATTCAGATATTCTGTTTCTTCTTGAGTCTGTTTTGGTGGTTTGTGTCTTTCTAGGAATTTATCCATTTCATTTATCTAATATGTTGACATACTTTTGTTCATAGTATTCTCTTAGGATCCCTTTCATTTCTGTGAATTTGATAGTTATTATTTTAGTAATTTGAGTATTCTCTCTTTTTTTGGTCTGTTTATGCAAATATTTGTCAATTTTGTTGATCTTTTCAAACCTACTTTTGGTTTCATTGATTTTCTCTATTTTTCTTTTATGATCTATATATTTTTTCTGCTCTAATGTTTATTATCTACTTCCCTCTGTTAGCTTTGGATTTAGTTTGCTCTTCTTTTTCCAGTTCCTTAAGATAGAACGATAGGTTATTAATTTGGGATCTTTTGTCTTAGTCAACTTAGAGTACTATAAAAAATTACTATAGACTGGGTGGCTTAAACAACAGAAATTGATCTTCTCACAGTTCTGGAGGCTGGAATTCTAAGGTCAGGGTGCCTGCATGGTTGGGCTCTGATGGGAACTCTCTTCCCAGCTTGCAGATGGTGCCTTATCACTGCGTCCTCACATGGCTGGAAGTAAGACAGGGAGCAAGCTCTCTGGTGTCTCTTCTTATAAGGCCACTAATCCCATCATAAGCCTTCATGGCCTCATCTAAATCTAATGATCTCCCAAAGGCCCCATCTCCAAATACTATCACATTAGGGGTTAGGGCTTCAATATATGAATTTGTGGGGACTCAATTCAGTCTATAACATTTTTCTTCTCTGTAATGTAGGTGTTTGCTGCTATAAATTTCCATCTATTCACTGCTTTTACTTAGTCCCATAAGTTTTCCTTGTTATTGATTTCTAATTTCATTTCATTGTTGAGTGAAGCAGCTGAGCTCCCCCTCCCCCAAGAAAGTTTCTAATTTCTGCTCTTTTTCCTGTGTATGGATCATACTTTCCTGTTTCTTTTCATATCATAACGTTTTTTGAAAATTGGACATTTTCGATAATGTAGCAACTCTGGGTACTGATTCCCAACCCCTAGGGTGTATTGTTTGCTGGTTTATTTGTTTAGTGACTTGGCTGCACTTTTTCTTTGAAGTCTATTTCTCCCACAGTGTGCAGCCTCTAATGTCACCTCTCAGAGGGAACAGCCTTGGGCATGCACACAGTCACCCTGGAATGACACAGCTTTCTTGTTTCTTTTCCTAATCTCCCTATTAAGCCTGCTTCTGTGGTACCTCACCCAGCTGTTAACCTCCACTAATTGCAGACTAATTGTTCCATTTTTATTTTTCTGACAGTTTCCCATATATAGAGTCCTCCAGTGATCTAATTAGATTTGGGTTGCCTTGTGTTTGAGGCCAGTCTTAGGTATTTGTTTGGACCTCCGGAGGGTTCTTCTTAGCCGACTCTTCCCCCAGGTACTCTCTGTTAAACTTCTAGCTGTCACATGGTTTAGCTTGTTATTCTCATGAAGCTCCCAGCTTCACTGTAACTGCTTATCTCTCAAATCTCCATTGTTTTCGACAGCACCCTTAGGCTTGAACTTCCCCATACTCTGTTCCAAATAAAGTCTGTTCTCTTAGGAAAGCTCTCTGTTCTTAAGTCCTGACTTTCCCCCGGGAACAATCTACGAACCACTGTTCTGGAGCTATGGATAGGGACAGTGGACTGCTTCTCTTGGAGTGACACCCTTGCCCTACCCGTGGAGTGCTGGGTAACCCTGGTTTTCTTGGCTTGCCTCTCCCAGTGTGGAACCTCTACTCTATGAGTTACGTCAGGGCAGGGGCACTCAGAGCTCACTATTCTTGGCCTGCCACCTGCAGTAGAGCTTCTGCCTTGTGCATGGGGGCTAGGTAGATGGAGGAAGCCTCACACCTACCAGTCATGCCATGCTAGAATAGAGCTTCTGCCTTATGGACCTGGGGATGGGGTGACGTAGGAGGAGAAGTGCTGATGAGTTGCTCCTCCTGGGGGCAAAGCATAGCCTTTGAATGGGACCTGAGGGGAAAGAGCGCTCCCAGGCTTTATTTGCCAGGAGTAGAGCTTCCATCTCACTGAACTGAAGCATGGAGTAGATCATGTCTCAAATACCATAGACTCTCACTTTTCTTACTAAGAATTCATTGATTTTCTTGTGTAAATGTTTCTTCATTTGCTGTATGCCCTTAGGACATTCACAGTTTTCAGAGATTTTAAATTGTTTTTGTTTGTTTTTATAATTTTTACCAGTTATGGTGGTTTTATTGGAGAGAGGCTCTGTGGAGCTCCTCACACTGCAATTCTGGAAATGTCCAACTCTCATTTATTTTGAAGGTTCTTTTTTGGTTTTTACTCTCAGATCATACCCTTAATTCAGGTGATTGTAAAATACAGCCCTTGGATCAAATCTGGCCTCTTTTTCTAAATAAAGTTTCATTAGAACACAGTCATACCCATTCGTTTATGTATTGTTTATGGCTGACAGAGTTCAGTAATTGCAATTGAGACCATTTCGCCCACAAAGCCTAAAATATTTAGTGTCTGGCCCTTTACAAAAAAACTGACAACACCTACTTTAGTTGATAAGCTTTACTAAAGTCTTTCATTACTTAAAGATATAAGTGCTTCCATAGTAAATATGAGTTGTCAAGAATACCAACAATAATTAAAATCAGATTTGGCTTAAAGGCAAAATTAGTAGATTTGTAATATAAACATGATATTTTTTGTTTTTCCAACATTTTCAGATCTGGTAGCTCAGCGAGGCGAAAGATTGGAATTATTGATAGATAAAACAGAAAATCTCATGGATTCGGTAAGTATGGGATATGGTAATATTTTTCCAGGATGTAAACTAGAGAAATTGTGGTTGATGGCTAGTATAATAGGGAAATGTCTTAAATTCAATACTTCTTTAGTGGTTTTTTTTTTTCCATTCTAACCCCCATTATGTGACTACGTTGTGATCATGAGGATATCAATGAGGCATAGAAAAAAGCCACAACCCATTAATAGCCATTAAGGAAGCTTTCGTTTGGAAAACATACTCAATATAAAGCAACAATTTTTTAAAGCTTTGGATTGATGCCTACATAATTTAGCACCTTAGCTACATATACCAGTCTGTTCTCTGTATATTCGTAAAACACAAAACAAAAGTGCAGGCCAGTTGTGACCCATTGTGGATCCTAAAACTCAGACAGTTCAGTCACTTTCTTGCTTACCGTGACAGCTTGAGCTTTTTTTGTATTAAGCAAGAGGCAGAGATTGATAGGGAAGGATATGTCCCTGTAACCTACTTATGCTACAGTTACGTGTGTCTCTGCATTTTCCATCTGGTTGGTGGATGAAAGTTTTCAGGGAAGATGATACATATACAGTGAATAGAAGGAGGGCAGAGATCAGTTACAATTTGGGTCTACACAATTACAAATTTACATAAAGAGTAGAAATTTACCCCTTGAAATAGATATCAGTGAGTGATCTTGTTCATTCTTACTGACAGGTAGATTGTAGTGGTTAAGAGCACAAGCTCTAGAGTCTGGTTGCCTGGGATTGAATACCAGCTCTGTCACTCACTAGTTGTGTGACCTTAGGCAAGTTACTTAAACTCTCTATGCCTCAGTCATCATCATCTGTAAAATGAAGATGAATCTTTATCATAGTGTTTTGAGGGTTAAAGCACACAATGCATGCAAAATCCTTAACACAGTGTCTGATACATAGTAAGAGCTATTTAAAGGTTTATTGTTATTGTTAGTTTTACAGAGACATCTATTAACGGTAGGTCTTGGGAGGATAATAGTTTTTTCACCAAAGTACATGGAAATTGGAGGAAGGGTGGCACCATACAGGAAGTTAAGGCACCAGGGTTCTATAATGGCTCACTTTGTAAACCGTTACTTGGGGACAAAGAGAGACAGGTGTCTGATTGTAGATCTGATGACAAGTTTTTTTGTACTTCCAGTCTATCTCTTAGGTATCCTTAGTCCCTGAAGATGACCCTACTTAGCTGGAGTGGCCTGTGTTTGACCAGTACTAGTATAGTCTGCACTTTCCAAAAAAAGCTTTCTTAATTTTGTTGACTACATCACCCAGATTAACAAAAGCTACTCATTAACTGCTGCCTCTTTTTATGGAGGAATAACAAATACAATAAAGTGCAGCAAATGTACTACTTTTAATAAGTGTGCAGCTCAGTTATTTTTTTACATATGTTTATACCCATGTAACCACCACGTAGGTCAAGATATAAAACACTATCAACACCTCAGAAGGCAGCCTCAAGCCCCTTCCAGTTAATAATCCCCAACAGAAGTAACTTTTCTGACTTATATCACCCTAGATAATGTTTTTCCCATTCTTAAAATGTGTAGAAAAATGGAAACGTATGTTATATATTTGCATCTGTACCCTTTCACTCACCAGTATGCCTATGAGATTCATCCATGTTGTTGAATGTAGTAATAATTTATTATTTTTTATTGTTTTGTACTACATATTCCATTGTATAAGTCTACCTACCACTATTTATCCATCCTCCTCTGTGGGGCTTTAATTCTGGATTCTCTATTTTGTTACATTGTTCTCTTTGTCTATCTTTATGCCAGTACCACACTGTATTGCTAACTGTAGCTTTATAGAATTCCCTAAGTCCTTCACTCTGTTCTTCTCCAAGACTGTCTTCACCATTTAAGGTCCTTTGCATTTCCGTTTGTGTTTCAGAATAAGCTTGTTATTTTCCATCCTTAAAAAAAAATTTGTATCTTTGATTGTGATTGCATTTAACTGATAGGTCAACTTAAGGAGAATTGGTAATCTTGACAGCATTGAGTCTTCCTGTCCATAAACTTGGCATATGTCTGCTTTTGCATAGGATTTCTTTAATTTTTCTCACCAGTGTTTTTTAGTTTTTGGTGTACAAGTCTTGCACATATTTTGTGAAATATACCTTTGAGAATTTCATGCTTTTGCATTCTATTTTAAATTTTGTTTTCCAATATTTATTGCTAATTATATAGAAATGAAATTAATTTTTGTATATTGACCTGGTTTGTATCCTTCAACTTTCCAAAATTCACTTATTAGTTCTACGAGCTTTTTTGTAGGTGCTTACATTTTATTTCATTTCCTTGTATTATTGCACTGGCTGGAACCTTCTACACAATAGTGAAGACACGTTGTGACTGGACATTCTTGAATGAAGCACATCTTATGGGGAAAAATTCAGTATTTTGAATTATGTTGTTAGCTGTAGATTTTTTAATAGGTACCCTTTATCAGGTGAAAGAAGTTCCTTCAATTCCTCATTTCAGAGTTTTATTCATGAATTTTATCAAATATTTTTTCTCTATATATTGAGAAGATTATATGGTTTTTCTCCTTTAATCAGTTAATATGACTGAACCTAACTTACTAAACTAATATTTATTTCTGAATGTTAAACTGACCTTGCATTCAAGATCATGATACAGTATCCTCTTTTTATATTACCTTATTGGATTTGCTATTGATTTATTCAGAAATTTTGTATCTGTGTTCTATGACACTATAAATTTTGTATCTGTGTTCTATAACACTATAAATTAAACTATAAATTATAGTCTATAATTTATTTTTCTTTTTGGGCTTTGGTATCAGGGATATACTGGCCCCATCAAACAGGTTGGGAAGTGTTACCTCTCTCTCTCTATCCTCTGAAAGAGTTTAGGTAGTATCAACATTATTTGCTCCTTTGCTGTTTGGAAGGATTCACCAGTGAAGCAGTCTCAGCCTGGAGTTTTCTTTGTGGGAAGGTTTTAAATCTACCATTTTACTATTTGTTTCCTTTTTTATTTTAACCATCTGTTCTTTGTTCCCTTCACTCTCTTTTTCTGCCTTCTGTTCCATTAATGAGTACGTCTTAAATTCCATTTTTATTCTGTTTTGTTATTTTGTGATTGCTTTAAGGTTTACAGTATAAGGCTTTAACTTATCATAGTCTACCTCCAAGTGGTATTATCCCACTTCACAAATAGTATGAGAACCTTATAATAGTATACCTCCAATTTTTACCTGGCCTTGGTGCTATTTTTTTTTTTTTTTGCAGTACGTGGGCCTCTCACTGTTGTGGCCTCTCCCGTTGTGGAGAACAGGCTCCGGACATGCAGGCTCAGCAGCCACGGGTCACAGGCCCAGCTGCTCCGCGGCATGTGGGATCTTCCCGGACCGGGGCACGAACCCGAGTCCCCTGCATCGGCAGGCGGACTCTCAACCGCTGCGCCACCAGGGAAGCCCCCTTGGTGCTATTTTTGTCATACTTTTATACACACATATAACCTTCAAAAGAGATTTAAATAATAAGAAAAACATCTTTTCTATTTATCCATGTAGTTAATATTTCTCGTAACTCTTCATTCTTTTGTGTAGATCCAGATTTCCATCTGGTGACATTTTCTTTCTGCCTGTAGGATGTCTTTTAACATTTCTTGTAATGTAGGTCTGCTAGTAATGAATTCTTTCAGTATTTGTATATCAGAAAAGTCTTTATTTCACTTCCTTTTCTTAAAGATATTTTCACAGAATAGAATTCTATATTATTATTTTTCTTTCAATATTTGAAAGATGTTTCATCACTGTCTTTTATATTGTTTCTGACAAAAATTCCACTGTTGTTTTTACATATATAATTTGTCTTTTTTTCCTCTGGGTGCTTATAAGATTTTTCTATCATTGGTTTTAAGAAATTTGATTATAATATACTTTGGTGTAGTTTTCTTTATGTTTCTTCAGCTCTGGGTTTGTTGAGCTGTAGGTTTGTAGATTTTATAAAATTATGAAAACAGTCAGCTGTTATTTCTTCAAATATTTTTCTGTCCTTTCCTTCTAGGACTCCAGTTATGTGTACATTAAAGCACTTGAAGTTGTCCCACGACTCACTGATGCTCTGTTCGTTTTTTTCAGTCTTTTCTTTCTGTGTTTCATTTAGGATAGTTTCTATTACAGTGTCTTCAAGTTTACTTATCTTTTTATGCTGCAGTTTGTAATCTGTTACTCCCATTTTGTGTATTTTTCATGTCTACAAGTTTGATTTTGATCTTTTTTATGTCTTCCGTGTGTCTCCTTAACATTTGCATGCTTTCCTCTACATTGCTTAATATATAAGTATATTTATAATTGAAATGTTTTTTCCACTTACATGTAATATAAATATTGATAGAGTTGAGTTTAAGTAAGCTATGTTGCTCTTTGGTTTTTATTTGCTCTGTCCTCTTTGTTCCTCTTTTTTTGTTTATTCACATATTTAAAAAATTGTTTCATTTTATCACCTCTTGGTTTTTCTAACAACCTTATTTAATTATTTATTTATTGATCAATAAATCACAGACCATACAGTTGACCCATTTAAAGTGTACAGTTCAATGGGTTTTGGCATATTACATTATAATTTTTAATTGTGGTGAAATATATACATATAATAAATTTGCCATTTTAGCCATTTTAGTATATAATTCAGTGATATTAATTACATTCACAGTGTTGTGCAGCCATCATCACTATCTATGTCCAAAACTTTGTCATTATGCCAAACAAATTCTGTAACTGTTAACCAATAAGTTCCCATTCCCACTTCCCCCAGCCCCTGGTAACCTCTTATCTACTTTTTGTCTCTGAATTTGCCTATTCTAGAGATCTATAATTGGAATCCTACAATTATTTGTCCTTTAGTGTCTGGCTTATTTCACTTAGCATCATATTTTCAAGTTTCATCCATGTTGTAGCGTGTCAGGACTTCATTTCTTTTTATGGTTGAATAATATTCCATTATAGGGATATACCACATTTATCCATTCATTTGTTGATGGACCGCTGAGTTATTTCCATCTTTGGGCGCTTGTGAATAATTCTGCTATGAACATTGGCATACAAGTATCCATTCAAGTCCCTGCGTTTAGTTCCTTTGGGTATTTACCTAGGAATGGAATTGCTGGGTCATATGGTAATCCTATGTTTAGCTTTTTGAGGGACTACCAAACATTTTTTCATAACTGCCACACCATTTTACATTCCCAACATATGCAAGGATACCAGTTTTTCCACATCTTCACCAGCACTTGTTATTTTCCATATTTTTCTTATAGCCATCCTGGTGGGTATGAAGTGGTATGTCATTGTGGTTTTGATTTTCATTTCCCTAAGGACTAATGATGTTGATCATCTTTCCGTGTGCTTATTGACAATTTGTATATCTTCTTGGGAGAAATTATTCAAGTCCTTTGCCCATTTTTAGTGCATCATCAGCTGCTAGTGAAACCATCTACATGAAGTGGAGAGGCCATCAGGCTGGTCAGCTTGCCCTTGTCATTCTCACAGGGGTTTTTATATCTTTTTGTTCTTTTCTACTTACATCCACCCCCACCCATCCCCAAGGGAAGCTTTGGTAAGATGTAACAATTGTTCTTTATAGTTGAACTGGTTTTAAACAGGTGATATATCAGTGTTCAAATACTGACCTGAGGATTGTGGAGAAATCTTCACCCCAACCTGTTGAATCACATAACTGTATTTAGGTTTATTAGTTTCATTGCTCACTACTTTTTCTTATTCATATTATCTTCCTCCTTCTTGGAGTCTTTATTGTGACTTAGTTTGTGAGTAATTGAAAAGAGTTTGGACAACTGAGAAGTTCACCAACTATGTACAATTTAGAGGGCACAGTCCCCAAGCCTCCCTCAATTCTGACACCAGCTGCAAGTTTGTTCATTCCCCAAACCATCCTCAGGTTTGATAACTCACTAGAAGGACTCACAGAACTCTATGAAAGCTATTATAGTTATGGTTTTTTACGGGCAAAGGTTACAGATTAAGCTCAGCCAAAAGAAGCAGCACATTGGGTGGAGTTGGGGAGGTAACAAACCCACAGTTTCTGTTGTTCTCTCCCCATGGGCTCATTACTCTCCCAGCACAGATGTGTGATGACATTGTCAACAAAGAATTAATCAGTCCATCTAAGAAAGAAATGGAAAGTTTTATTTGAGCCAAATTTGAGAATTATAACCAGGGAAGAGAATCTCAGAAAGCTCAGAGAACTGTTCCGCCTGTTAGAAGTCAAGTCACAGTTCTATAAGGCTTTTGAGACAGAGGACTGGACATTAAATGACATATTATTGACACTTACACAATCCAGATCTAAGTGTCACTGTGACCCCTTACAAGATTAAGAAGGAATGTTATCTTTAAGTTGTCTTGTTGGTGCTGGGAGAATGTTAGTCTTTATGCTTGAGCAGGAGTTTTTGCTGATGGGGAAGGTTTGGTCAATGCATAATGCAGATACACAGTGCACATTGTGGGGAGAGAGGAGGCCAAAGGGCAGAGAAAAATTTTTATGTTTAAATTTTTGTCTTGCCATAAAATATGAATTTTATTTCACAAAATACACAGAGCATTGTACAACAAGGAAGCTTGCCCAAGCTTCATTGTTCAGTTTCGTTGTTGTTGTTGTTTTTATTGAAGTAGAGTTGATTTACAATGTTGCATTAGTTTCTGGTGTACAGTAAAGTGATTCAGTTATGTGTATATATATATATATATATATATATATATATATGTATTCTTTTTCACATTCTTTTCCTTTATGGCTTATTATAGGATACTGAACATAGTTCCCTGTGCTATACAGTAGGACCTTGTTATTTCTTTTTTCAGTTTTTATTGTGGTTTTATTATATAAGCATGATTGACTGATTGCCTACTTGCTTAATCTGAGTCTCCAGTCTCTAGCTCCTCTAGAGACTCAGAGCCCCTATCCTAAATGATATAGTTGGGCTTTCTAGAGTGAGTAGTCCCTGCACTAAATCACATTGTTACTATTTGGCTAGCCCATGGCCCCCAGGCAAGAAAAGGTTACCTCCCAGGAGCTGAGAGCAAAGGTCAGATCCCTGTTTGGGCAAAGGTTAAATTCTTTATGATACAGTACACTTAGTAGGCATTTGGGTTGTTTCCAGTCTTGAGATTAGACAAATAGTGCAGTTAGAAACATTTTTGTATATGTCTTTAGATGAACTTATGCATATTATCTCTGTTGGGTATATACCTAGGAGTGGAATTGCTGGGGTCTTAGGGATTTTTGTTTGTTTGTTTGTTTTAAACTGCTTGTGTCCTGGTGGGAATTGTTCAGTAGATATTGAGAAATTGATGCTGCAACAGAAAATGGATACCTGTGAAGGAGTGAAGTTCTTTGGGTTTGGGCCCTCATACGAGTAAATACATACCTTCCTATGGAAATTGAACAGGTTCTTATGGTTCACAATGCCAGGATTATACTAGGCAGAATAGGCAAATGTGTTTGCAGCCAACTAGCTCATGCTTTCTTATTGGAAGCATGAAGATGAAAAGGCTTTTCTGCTCTCACGAAGAACTACTTCTAGTGCTCAACATCACATGCATTGCTGTGGTGGAGAAGAAAAAGGAGGGAATCCTTTCCAGTGGGCTCATACTGTTTACCATATATGTGGCAGAGTCCTGCTTTGTGGAACTAGTGATTATGAATGGCCAGTGTCTACCTGTGGAGAGGGAAGGGGTAAAAACCATTGAAACAGAATTTAATGAAAGTAAAAGTTTTGCAGGTATTACTGCAAATCAATCATGTAGTCAATGCCAGGGATCAAACAATTCATGCTTTTTTTTTTTCCTAGTCTGTCACCTTCAAAACAACCAGCAGAAATCTTGCCCGAGCCATGTGTATGAAGAATCTCAAGCTCACTATCATCATCATCATCATATCAGTCGTAAGTTTTTGTCCTTTTAATATATGATTTTATTTTTCAATCTCTAAGAAATTAGGTGCTGGAATTCTTTCTCAGTGATTAGCACTCTGAAAAAAAATGATTAGCACTCTGAAATGAGCTACGTATAACTTTTAATGGTGAAACACATGACCAGGGATTAGCTTTCCTATGAAGTTACTGTGTCATAGCGTCCCTACTTAAACCCTATTTCCCTACTGAGAATACTTATATGTAAGTAGTCGTTTAAGGCATTCCAGATATTCCTGATTATTTAATGGTTTTCTCACTGCTGAAATGGGACTCTTTTAAACTTACATTTTCTAATTGAGTGAATATTTTCTAATTATATTTCTGTTTTCTAGTTCTGTTTTCTATTCCTTTGTTGCTGTTTTCTCTTTTCTAATTCATCTGTTTTGTTTCTGGCAACCTCGCATAATTTTTAGTAGTTGTAATAGTTTGTCAGCTGATTCTTCTGTGTGCTGTAGATCAGGAGTCAGCAAACTTTCTGTGAGGTCCAAATAGTAAATATTTTAGGCCTTGCAGCTCACATACAGTCTCTGTCACATATTATTTTTTTAAACAACTGTTGAAAAATATAAAAACCATTCTTAGCTCACAGGCAATGGCTGTAGTTTGTTGACTCCTGCTATAGATAAATTATGATACTGTCTATTAATAATCTTAACCTCATCATTTATTTATACACACACACACACACATATTTCATTTACAAGCAGTGCTGAATAATTGTGGTATCAGTAGGAATCTTTATTTAGTTCCTGGTTTTAATTGGAATGCTTCTAATATTTATGAGTGATATTTACTATGAATTCTTGTTACTTTTATTGTGAAGTTAAAGAACATTTTATTTCTAGAGTGCTAAAAGTTTTTTTTATCAGGAATAGGCATTTCATTTTAAGAAATGGTATTTCTCTACCCAGTGAATTGATAATATAACTACATTTAATATTAATATATTGAATGACATTAATGAAAGCACTAATAATTAACTATTCTTTCATTTCTGGGATAAGTACTAAGAGGTCATTATGTAGTATTCCTTTTTCTTTTTTTTTTTTTGGTGGTACGCGGGCCTCTCACTGTTGTGGCCTCTCCCGTTGCGGAGCACAGGCTCCGGACGCGCAGGCTCAGCGGCCATGGCCCATGGTCCCAGCCACTCCGCGGCATGTGGGATCTTCCCGGACCGGGGCACGAACACGTGTCCCTTGCATCGGCAGGCGGACTCTCAACCACTGCACCACCAGGGAAGCCTGTAGTATTCTTTTAATGCATGGTGAGTTCAGTTTCCTAATACTTACTTACCCTTGTCTATAAATATAGTCTAGGGACTTCCCTGGCGGTCCAGTGGTTAAGACTTTGCCTTCCAATACAGCAGGTGCAGGTTCAATCCCTGGTTGGGGAGCTAAGATCCCACATGCCTCGTGGCCAAAAAATCCAAAACACAAAACGGAAGCAATACTGTAACAAATTCAATAAAGACTTTAAAAATGGTCCACATCAATATAAACAAAAAAAAAAGTCTGTATGCTGTCCTCCTTTTGGAACCCCAATATAAAAAGATATTGGACCTCTTTGAACTCTCCTGCATGTCTGGTAACCTTTTTAATATGTTTAAACTCCTTTTTTGCATCACATTCTGGGTGAATCATTCAGCTAACTCTTCCAGCTCTGTTCATTCTGCTATCCAGTTCTTCTTTTTAAAAATTAATTTTTAAATGTTTATTTTTTTAAAGCCATGCTTTAAATTTCTAAGAACTTTTATTATTCTTATTTTAACATTTTTTTTCATAGAAGTTGTACTTGTTAACAAATATACTCTCTCCTTGAATTTGTCTGGATATATATTCAGAGATATATCATAGGGAATTAGTTTCTGCAGTGGCAAGAGCTGGCTAGACAAGTCCAAAATCCACAGAGCAGGCTGTCAGGAAGGGCTGGCTGGACCTGAGGGGCAGGAGCAAACCTGTATATACAGGCAGAATATCTTCTTCAAGGAAACCTTGGCTCCACTCTTAAGGCCTTTTAACTGATTGGATCAGGCTCATTCAGATTATGTAGGATAATCTGCCTTACTTAAAGTCAACTGATTTATGAGCTTTAATCACATCTACAAAATACAGCAACACCTTGATTAGTGTTTGATTGGATACCAGTGCACTGTAGCCTCCCCAAGTTGACACACAAAACTGACCTCATAGAAATGTAGTTAGTTATGTTTATACGTAATGGGTATATTTTTAAAATTTTATTTCTAATATGGTTAAGTGTTGATAGTTATAACCCACCTCTAAACAAGAGGTCTTTGGAGTCCTCACTAATTTTTAAGAGTGTAAAGAAGTCCTGAACCAAAAGCTCGAGAGCTGCTGCTCTAAGGAGTGGGGGGGGGGGGTGCTTTGCTTTGGGGGGAGTTTGTTAAAAATGGTCCACATCAATATAAACAAAAAAAAAAGCCTGAATGCTGTCCTCCTTTTGGAACCCCAATATAAAAAGATATTGGACCTCTTTGAACTCTCCTGCATGTCTGGTAACCTTTTTAATATGTTTAAACTCCTTTTTTGCATCACATTCTGGGTGAATCATTCAGCTAACTCTTCCAGCTCTGTTCATTCTGCTATCCAGTTCTTCTTTTTAAAAATTAATTTTTAAATGTTTATTTTTTTAAAGCCATGCTTTAAATTTCTAAGAACTTTTATTATTCTTATTTTAACATTTTTTTTCATAGAAGTTGTACTTGTTAACAAATATACTCTCTCCTTGAATTTGTCTGGATATATATTCAGAGATATATCATAGGGAATTAGTTTCTGCAGTGGCAAGAGCTGGCTAGACAAGTCCAAAATCCACAGAGCAGGCTGTCAGGAAGGGCTGGCTGGACCTGAGGGGCAGGAGCAAACCTGTATATACAGGCAGAATATCTTCTTCAAGGAAACCTTGGCTCCACTCTTAAGGCCTTTTAACTGATTGGATCAGGCTCATTCAGATTATGTAGGATAATCTGCCTTACTTAAAGTCAACTGATTTATGAGCTTTAATCACATCTACAAAATACAGCAACACCTTGATTAGTGTTTGATTGGATACCAGTGCACTGTAGCCTCCCCAAGTTGACACACAAAACTGACCTCATAGAAATGTAGTTAGTTATGTTTATACGTAATGGGTATATTTTTAAAATTTTATTTCTAATATGGTTAAGTGTTGATAGTTATAACCCACCTCTAAACAAGAGGTCTTTGGAGTCCTCACTAATTTTTAAGAGTGTAAAGAAGTCCTGAACCAAAAGCTCGAGAGCTGCTGCTCTAAGGAGTGGGGGGGGGGATGCTTTGCTTTGGGGGTAGTTTGTGTCTGGGCAAAGCAGCATTTCCTCCTCATCCTTTTTTCATTTACAGATGCCCAAAGTTAACTCTTAGCAGATATCTCTGACTCAGCTCCACTTCTCCTTGACCCCTATTGAAGGTCTTCCACCTTAGACAGCTGGACTTGCCTAACAGAGAAGGGCAGCTATAGCTCTATTAATGTTGTACTGGAAATTGTGCCTTGATTGTTCCCTTGTTCAGGATCCTCAGGTGGCACATTCTTGGCTTCTCAGCTTAGCTTCTTCCTCCTTCTTTGGTCTAGGAATTTAGATTGATTTATAAAGGTAGATTATTATTAAATTCAGATTATATTTATTGATTACTTATTACATGCAGAGTACTTTGCCAACTTGCCAACTCTTTACCAGAAGGTGTTGTCACCTAACATATTGTACTTCAGCTTTAAAAATCCTTATATTTTAGCTGTGGCAAAGAGTCAACTTTCTATCAAATTGGAATATCTGTGTTTATGTGAATATGTTGAGTAGTTTAGCCTATTTATTAATAACCAGAATTTTCTATAACCCCTACCCCCAACATTTGTAGAGAAGTAAGGCAAAACACTTTGCTGACTTTAGGTAGGGAGCATGTAATTCATAATGTATTTTTTTCTAAGTGTGTGAGTAATGAAATCAGTCACTTAAAGATCTTAGAAAGTTGCAATTTAAATCAGAACAAAATGACTGATTTAATGCAGTGAACCTAAATTTTACAATGAATCTATTTTTGGAATGTAGTAATCTGAGCAAGCATATGCCATGCAGAATATCATAATTTAAAATTATAATACCATAATTAAAAAGCTAATACCTCTTTTTTGTTTTTTTCAATTTTTAAAGCTTTTTAAAATTGAGATACTTAAAGGAAAATGCACATATCTTAAGCATACAGTTCAATGACAGATTCACACATTTGTGTAACCCATACTTTTGTCAATATACAGAGTGTTTTCATCCCCAGAAAGACGGTTCATGTCCTTTCTCAGTCAACCCCCACCCCCAGCTGAGTGGCTACCATTGTTCTGATTTCTTTTGCTGTGGACTACTTTTGCCTCTTCTAGGACTTCACGTAACAGAATCATACAGTGTATCCTGTTTTTGAGTCCTAAAACGCTAGTATCTCTTTATTAGGACTAGTATTTTTGCTTTGTTACTTATAATTGGGTAATTATAATTATCATTGTAATCCACTGAAAGGTTCATGGCAACATTTTTGCTCATAGGTGATATAGATGTAGTCTACTCATGCTTTTTAATATTTTTAATCATCCTAATAATGAAAAATTAATCCATGTGCAAAAACCTAAAAATATACTTAATTATAAAATCATACTTAAGGGAATCATGCTAATTTGTGATCTTTATGGCAATGATGTTATCAGTAGAGTTGCTTATATAGTTCCATTCTGCCTACTTCCCAGTGAAGAGAAACAACCCCACTGCTTTCCCTCCCAGA